GGTACATTTAGATCTGTTATCATTTGATACAAGATTGAGGTTGGTTATCTAGGGCTTTAAATGTGAGAAGGATGATTTTAAATTCTACTCTGGATTTAACAGGAAGTCAATGAAGGAAAGCTAAGGGAGGACAAATATGATCTCTTTTTTTATTTTTAATCTAGAGTTTGTGGACTTCCTGATAGTAAAAAATTACGATAATCCAGCCTTGAAGTAACATTTAAATGTATAATCTTGTTTCTCAGCATCACCCCATGGCAAGATATTTCTTGTTTTGCTGTATTCTGGAGATATATATTCAATTAATCTTTTTGATATGGGATTCAAATTTCAAGTCCTGGTCAAAAATAACACCAAGGTTATTATCATCTGAGACTAATTTAATGCCATCCAGATTAAGTGACTGACTAATCAGATGCTTTCATCAAAGGTTTCTATCTAGACTGAAACTACACTAGGAGATCTGGGCTTTAGTAGGGAAAGCTACTGAAACCTAAAGTCTAACATTTTACTTCATTATTTGCTTTGTTTTGAATTTTTTTTTAAAGGCTCAATTTTGCATTAGCTGCTCTTGCAGAGACATCACTATCTTGCCTTTGCTAATAATACAAATGAGCACTCACTGCAGAAAGGCTGAACAGTTGCATCAGTTCTTAATTTGGCCAAAATGTGTATCGGCAAGTCAAAGCATTAAACCAACCATTTATCGAGACATGTTGATCTCCTCTCTGTTTATCTGATAAAACAATTGATGAGCACCTGACTATATATCCTTTAGAACACCTTAGTGTTTAAACCGAAGCTGACTGACTTTAGTAAACTTAGTCATAAACTGTTTGACAAAACACTCATTACTTGGGTCTCCACGTGCTCCATTAAATCCATAATAGCATATCAGATATTACTCCTCTTACTTTGATTTCTAACTCTACTGACAATCCTGTTGTGAAAGGTTTGTGGGTTTGAGCTCATGTGAAGTAACAGGAACCCTTGAGGTGGTTTCCAATCCTCCAGAGTCGGTCTGTTTTTCCCAGTTACACGATGCTGGTTTGTAGACTGAAGGCTATAAAGTTTTTCTCACTTCCATGGTTTTAACAGAGTGCAAATAAGGTGACGTTTAAAAAAGGTGCTCCCTCTGTTTCTTTTGCCTGTAGTCATCCCTCACTGCGGCTGCTCCAGTAACAGCCAGCCTGCGCCGGCTTGAGCAGGCATTAGTGCCCAGTCATAGCATAAGAATCTCATCTTGTCCTGCTCAGACAATTGTTCCCATTTTCCCTTTTATCTCTATAATTGCTGCAGAACTATATGAATATCAAAAGCAACGATCCGAGTTACTAAATTATCACGCTGCCAGTCTTCTGGCCAAACTAAGGCACATGATGCGGAGGGTTTAACTGGAGGGCAGCGGTTTAGTGTGCTTTGACATCAGCAAGTGTGTCTCAGAGTTCCTCTGTCATTTGATTAGGGTCTAAAATGGGAACAAGTGATGCCCTTTCTCTCTGCACCATGTGTGGGTTTCAACGTGTGGGCATGGCAATGTTTAAAGGCCAGCTTTCCTATGCATTGACCTTTGGACGCTGCAGCACTACCCTGCAGTGGAACACTTAGCAATGCAATAGATGAAGACAAACCAGAGTGGAAGCTGCTTTTAGGTAGTTCTTCCACTGCCTCTGTTTTGTTTCCCGGCTTTTCTCTGTAGCTTTGTCACTCAAAGGGCAAGGCTCCTACAAGTCTCTCTTTTTTTTTTTTTTTTTTTCCTGTGGTGTTATGCCTGGTAACCTTTTCACAAATGCCTTTGATTATTTTCCTCTTGTGAAACCTCACCAGCACTTATTTCACACTTATCAATGTATTGTGTAATAAATAAGAAAAAAAAGTTCAATGTTTTTTAAATTTAGATTATGTTCCTGTGTGTATATATCTATCAGTTGCCATTTATTCTTTAAATGACATTTGCAGAAAGCACTGTTTAATGAAACAATGGCAGCCACTGAGAATATCATAAGGTTCATTAGGTGTCCCGAGCCTGTACATCATCAATGACCCCTCACCCCCCCACCATGGACTGTTCTCCCTCCCTGCCCTCTGGAAAGAGGCTTCGCAGCATTCAATGCAGGTCCAGCAGATTCTGCAACAGCTTTTTCCCCACCGCCATCAGACAGCTGAATGTTGGAAAAACTCTCCATCAATTGCAAAGACTCTGCATCAAACTGATCATATCAATGCGTTTTCTTTTGCACCGTTTTCTCCCACAATGTTTACATTTGATCACTGCTGTACTTTAAGAAAAGGGAAATGTCATATACAAAACAAAATTTCATTTTGTATACACTATGTGTATACAAGCGATGCGCTTCCGCTTCTGTTGTTAATACGATACTCCACCCAAGCTGCAAAAATTAAGGCACTTTTTGCTTTTAATTAAATTTAATAAACATTAGGCTAGCATAAATTATTAAATGGTTATTTTCAAACAGTACATATAACCTATGAACTCTAATATAAATCACACAATTGTTTTTCACACAGTTAATCTTTTGCATGGAGCTGTCTCTAAAAACCTAATTAAAACACAATAATGCATACCTGGTGTCTGACACTGCAGCTACGTCTCCAATATAAGTCAATTAGGGATGTCCTAATGTCGTATGGTATTGAATATCGGTCCAATACAGGCAAAAAACTAAACCAAATACAAAAAATTTGATAGTATTACCTATTTATTGACTACATTAAAGCTGAAAGATCCTGCCATGCCTTTTCCTGTCAACAAAACATCAACCAACATTGTGAATTTTAATTAGGCTTTTAATAAATGTCTAATAAAAGTTAGGGACATATGATCTATTGTGTATAACCCAGGAATTTTCCTTTTCTGTGAAATGAATAAACAGCCATAGTGTACATCCTTAGGAATAGCCTGCAGCACTATTCTCTCTGATGCGGTGAAAAAAATCTGAATTGCACATCTGACCTGAAAGAAATCTGATAATTGGAAAACACTGGAAACTTGGCTAAAGATTTAAAGAGTCTCTTGTCATCTTCCGGGCTATGCACTTCCAAATGTGTTTATCTCCTTCATGTCAACAATGAATGGCATAGCTGGAATAGTTTAGAGTTTTTTTTTTTTGCACTTGTCCTTGGATCCTGTGTGGTCACACTGCACATACACACACATGCACGCAAACACCTCACCACAATGCAGCTTTTAGCAGATTTCCTGTGGCCTATTGTATCTGCTGGAAGATGGTGGCATCCTGGACCAAAACTCCAGGTTGAACAAACCAAATCCCTCCCTCTCTCCTTCTTTCCTCACTTCCGCTCATAATCTCCCTCTTCCTGTGCTCCTTCTCCTCTCCGTCTGCTTTGTGAATCTCGTCTGCTCTTGTTTTTATTACCTGCACCACCTTACACATCCATTTAGCCATTATTCCATCTGTTTTGCTCTTGCCCTCCCCTTCGTTCAGCCTATCATCTCTCCACCCCCCATCTGTTAGACCAAAGGAGCAGTCTAAACAACATATTTTTGAGCCAATTAAGCCTCCAGCAAAAAGGAAGAAAAAAACAGACACAAACACTCAAACTCTCTGACCTGTGTACTCAATCTGCTTTTGTGCCATGTTGATTCAATAGTTATTGCATCAGAGGAAGTGCTCTGTAACTATACATGTCTATGTAAACACTGTGCCACAAAACTGTTTTTTTCTGTCAACCTGCAGATGTTTTCTGTCAGCTTGTCATTTGTTAATTCTGCTGTTTCTAAACTTAATCATTTTGCTGGATGCATTTTATGATACTAAAAAAATTTTTCTGATCTTTTTTTTTTGTCTAAATTGCTTCTAAAATCTGTGGAATTGTGCAATTATTCTCAGTTAACAGTGTTTTTGAATAGATGAATATAAACAGATCATTATTGTAGAGAGAAGGGGGGGGGGGTCTCATTATTGGGAAATCATTAATCAGCTCTACTTTTCTAAGGTGTTAATGATGTTCAATGTGTAACCCCAGCCAATTTAAAATAATGCATATATTTTACTCCCTAACAGACAGGTTAAACTTTTCTCATGCATTTTCAGTCGAGATTAAACATGGTCTTACTGTGTTTGAGCAATAAGCACACCTGTAATTTAAAATTTTTAGATTGGATCAGGTAGCTTCTGTCACATGTCAATAAACCCATAAGCTATGCTCTTAAACTCCCAATTGCCCACCAATCTGCATATTGGTGTATAAATTAGTGTTTTTGCAAATGTAGATGCAGCAGCACTCAATTGTTCAGCTGGACTAGAGAAAAGCTCCGTAATTACAGCGCATCAAAGAGTGTTACAGAAGAGTCGGACCTTTACCTTTAATTTAATACAGTTTAATGTCCAGTGTTGGGCTGTTTCTAGGTTCTTTAGTGCTTTTCTGAATTAAAATGCTCCACATGGTGTGGCTTCGTCCATGATAGTCATGGAAAATCATTCTAATCACGCTACTTCCTGCTCCATGGCGTGCTCAGTAGACGTAATTGCCGCACTAGAACAGGATGTCCTGTTTGTGCTTTCTGTAGGGTTTTTAGCCATGACGTTAGGCAGTAATATGCTGATGCCCGGCCACTAAGTTTAAGTGTTAAATGTTTTTCCAGGAGGCATATTTACAGTTGTGGGTTAGAGTTGTTTCTTGGGGTATAGATATGACGTGACACGCCACGGCAGAACGGCTTCTTACGTAATGGCCATTAGGGGTGGTGTTTATCGTACCTGAACACACAGTGAGTCAGGATGGTGATGGAGGTCAAATAAGACTCCAAGAAGAGGGACATAGAAGATTTACCAAACCTCCATGGCCAAAGCGGCTAATTAGGAAAAACTCATCTCTAAATTTCAGTGTGTGATAATTCTTCTGCAGGTTTCTAGGGCTTCTACAGGCTTATCAGGTATGCAATGATTGCAGAGAACTGAATAATCCTTTATGATTAAAAATCCATGTTCTTTTTCTTCCCCCAAATGTCTCTGCAGTTTTGCCAACCTGGAGGTTGGAGGCTGTCTCGAGAAAGGAAAGCACCCACTTTCTTCACCGTTGTGCTGACAGACATCGATTCAGACCGCCACTACTGCGCCTGCCTCACATTCTACGAGGCTGAAGTGAACTTGCAGGTGAGGCCTGTTGCCCTGACTCCCACTCAGCTTGTTCCTGCAAAGGAGTTTTCACAAAATAAAACAACACAAGAAGGGATTGTAGAGAGAAATCATTGCTATTCAAATCTCTTGTAAGATTATTTTGTGTTTTCTGGACTAGTGATGAGCACGAGGCTATCATCGTGCCATGGTTTTCCTTGCATGTCTGTCTGAACCCCTTAAGGCAATCTCAGTTGGACAGTCCAATGGTACTCTGTTAACAATTTCCTTATTTTATTTTGTTTTTTCTTTGGAAACCTGTTTGAGTCTTTTTTGCTTGTAGGAATGCTTGTCGCGTGTGTGAGGTCTTCCAAGATTTCAGGCATTATTTGAAAATAAAAGGCTGTTTGGATCCTATCTAATAAATTTTCACTTGGCTGAGGGATTCTCTCCTACAGACTGAAGATGGACCTGTTCTTTTTCCAGCTCAGTTCGTTTGTTTACACGTCTGCACAACATTGGGTTTGACTGCAGATCAGCGGTCATGGCATAAATGTTCGGAGCTCTCATTATTTATTGATTACAACACACATGTTTGGAGGAGAACATTTTATACTGGAGAATTAACTTGTTAATCTGTGTTTCTACCAAAAGCCCAGAGGTAATTGTTTCACTGTGTCGAAGGCCCTTTGTAGGATGCCGTAGACGGCGCCTGTCCCCCTGCCCACGGTGACTTCACATCCTTTCACATGTGGACAGCATTCATCAATCCCATTCCAGTCAGATCAGCGAAACGTTTTCACGTTAAATTTGAAAGGCAGTCGTGCATGAAAAATGCGTCCACTCCAGGCAAATACAACAGTCATTTTTCTGGAATGTTACAAGATTCCTTTCATATTTCCACAGTTTTTTACCTCAGCTTGTGGTAATCAAACAATAGCCTTGACTTTTTTTTTCTTCAAAACTAAGCACATTTTCCTGATCTAATCAAAACATCAGAGAAAAAAGGGTTTGCACTAATGTGGCGCTTCAAATGAAGAAAATCACCAAAATGAGACCAATCATTTGCTTTTCTCAAGAATCTTTGCAAGGGGTCCAATCTAGAGTCTTTAACTCCCACAACTCATCACTGCTTCGAGAAGTTCATCTGATATAGATGAACACATGTTGCAGTTTAAGCTTGAACTGCACGACACTGGATAGATTATACTTTTGCCATTTCACCATGTTGGTCATCTGTGTCCAATGTGGTTACCTTGTGCAGGCAGACCCCATCCAGCATAACCTGCATGCAAGCCTGATCTTATGAAACTTTTATACCTAATCGTACATTAATATTACTAAATAGTGTCTTAAATAATGAACAATTTAATTCTAAATAGGGCTGAAACAATTAGTCAGATGAATCGTGATTTTGAAATAATCATCAACTAATTTAGTAATCAATTAATCGTTAAATGGAATACAGAGACTCTAAAGCATGCCTTTAGCTGATAGAGCAACACACTTAGAGCAGTAATTATCAACAGATTAATGATTTTGCAAAATAATCATTATTTGCAGCCCTAATTCTAAGTAATCCTTTGTGACATTGATTTGTTGCACATTAAAAACTGTAGTGTTATATTTTCTCACTATGATGTGTTGCTGCTAATCGTCGTAACAATTATTTACAGTTCCTCTCTGAAATCACACTGAGCTTTAACAACTCAACCTCCGTCAGTAGTTATTAGCGAGGCACCGACCGATCGGCCAACACCTACATGTGAACCACATCTTATCCACCAGTCTTACTATATTTACCTCCATAAAGGTTTTGAAAATCAGTCAGTGTTAATACTCTTACTATTTTTATATTTCAGAGCTTTACGTCATGTGCAATTAAAAGAACTTAAATGAGGACTGGAAAGTTGATGATGTATTGTGGCATTATAACACCTGACAGTGTCAGTTGTTTAAAATAAAATTAGAAACGTCAGTGATCGGCTGGAGGATTGCAATCGCCGCGTTTCTTACAGCACTTGTCAGACTTAATGGCAGCGGGCCGAATGTGGACCCTCACAGCGGTTTATCCGAGTCTGATGAGCCAAAAAGTACCATTTAATCTCATAAAGTAGATCTCTTTAATTATATACATTGGCTGGAACTGCAAAATGTATGTGAGTAAAGTTATTATACAAATTCTAAATGAAATAAAATATTTCACTTATACAGCTGCATCCAACCCTTTTAAAACCTAGCGATGATATGAAAACGAATTTGACGAATTTGCCTCTGAAGACATCACAGTTGCTTACCAAATCCCTCCTATTTACCAGGTATAAAGATTGTACTTTACATAATTAGAATATTATTTAGATTACATTTTGTAACTCATTTTATAAAGATATATTCCACCAAAAACATGTTAGGTTTTTTTTCAACTGTAATACATTTTTACATTTTCAGTTCTCTAATTGTAATTGATTTTGATAAAGTTGTCAGCCAGAAACATACCCTGCTAAAGAGTCTGGCTGTGCAGAGTCTGTATCCAGGCACACTTATGGAAAGTTGTGGGGAAGGAAAAAGTGTGTTAGAATAAAGGGCAGCAGCAGCAGGTGTAACGGCTGCATAGAGAGGATTGTTGGTTCGTGTTTCTAGAAGCAGTGCATACAATCGTATCCAGGACGCGGCCTGCAGCTGTTACATGTCTGATGTTAAGTAAAGTAGGAATCAGAAAGTCTTTTATTCAGTCCTATAAAAAAAGAAGAAAAGTCTGGATTTGTCAAAAAAAAAAAAAAAACAGTAACTGGTTTTCTTATGCTAAGCAGCAAAAGCAGAAGCGTTCACCAGAATTAGTCAATGCATTCTCCAAGTTAAAACCTAAAAACCTATTTTTACATTTTTTGTGTCGGTTATGCACTGACTGCCATGGTTGAGTGAACTTCCTATTTTCTAAGAACACGGTCAACATTTCAGTGTTTACAGAAAAAGAAAGTTTGACTGTGCTGCTCTGTAGGCTAAAGCAGTCTTTGGTGGTTGACTTGTTTTAAAGTCTAACAGGAAACAAGAAAAGATCAATTCTGTTTGCAAAATACACTTTTCTGTTTGTTTGTTTTCCACTTCTCCGAAGTTTTGATGATATTCAAGTAAAGCCCCTAGCGGAAGTGTTTATGAATGCTAAACTGACATTTGATGAAGGCACGTGGGTAATAAATAATGTACTTTATAAGAAGAACTGTAAGACCGTATCGTTATTTCCTTCTTTGTCATCCCTGCCGTTAAACGGTATTCTCAGCTACCTTTCGCCTCCTCACATCCCTGCAGACATACTCCAATATTCCCTTTAAAGCCCAGGAGATCCTCCTGAAACTTCAGGGTGTTTTGACAATCTTCTCTGACGTTCTTATCTGCTCACATGGATCTCTGGGAATGTTCAGACAGCCCGTGCAGGAATGTGTTTGTTTAATAATTAAAGCAAATTCTAAGAATAATGGAGAAATATGACCGACATCTGACTGAGGTATTTTAAAGCCTCCATCATGAGATTAGTAAGCATTCTCTGCATCTCTTCACCATCTGGAGATAAAAAAAAAAAAGATGGTGCTTTAACTAGGCCACCAGTGGGGTGACAACTACACTAAAACTGAAATGCATATTTCTTTGCTTTTTTTTTAATATTCTTCCATTAAAAACATGCTGGGAAAAAAACTGTTTTTATATTACAGCGACGGTGTTCAGGGTCCTCATTCTTTTTTTGTTCTTTTTCCATTTTATTTTCTGTATTTAGTCATCCTTTTGGGATTCGCACTAGAAGCAAATTTACAACCATAACTAAAACCTTTTTTTTTTCTCTATTTTGTCCTCAGAGGGAAAATATCTCCGCTGATAGTTTTGTGTTTGTCTTTTGTTGGTATATTGTGATAAATTTTCTTTTACAGCTTTTTTTTTTTTCAAGCTTAATTTGTGATGCACTTTATTTGTTTTACAACCTCCCATAAAGCAAAATGATTGGAAACTTAATTATCGGCAATTTTATTCCTTAGCTTCCAAACATCTTGGATCACTGAGGAATATTTGTCTCAAAGAATGCGCACGTGCCGAGTAATACTTGTCAGATTTGTACTAGACTATGTGATAAGCTTGGAGCACACTATGTATCCCTAAACCAAACTAGGAGCTTAGAGCTGCTTATTGGTGCTGGCCGGCTCTACCGTCCGCTTCCAGGTGTATGACTCTGTTTCTTTTTTATTTTTATGTTTTAGGGCTCCAAAAGCATTGAGGCTGATGGAGATGAAGATGAGGAGGAAGAGGAGGATGGTCTGATCCAGCCAGCTCAAATCTTTGCACCAAAAAGTCTCATCCTCGTGTCCAGACTGGATTATCCTGAAATATTCCGGGTAATAACGGACCGTTTGATTAAATCTTGATTAAAAATATTTTTCTGTTTTTCCAGGAGAAATTCCTGACATTTTTGCTCGAATTATTGCTTTATCTTTGTTATCCTGAGATCATCAGAATCTGCGCTGTGTTGTCTGGAGCATAGGTCAAGTTGGTTTAAGTGTAAGCGTGCGCGTCACTGCAGGGAATTGGAGGTATAACTTAAGCGCCTCTTATTATCCCTTCGAACAAAATTTTATTTTAAGGAAAATTTTTTACGTCATTAAGTCATCTGCTGATCGAAACTGTCCAAAGTTTACCCAATTGTCCCTGCAATCAATTTTCTTTTGCTGTCATGATAATAATAATATGCTGTATATTAAACTGCTATCTGTGTTTTGCTTGCAGGGATGCCTGGGACTGATCTACACTGTGCATATTGACAGCCTGAACTTCTCTTTGGAGAGCCTGGTGGCCAGTCTCTTTACCTTTCAGGTTCCTGTTGCAGGTGGATCTCAGGTAGGCCTTCTTTCTGCAGCTGGAAGTAGGTCCGAACTCCACCGGTCTAACAAAAAATAATCCATCACTGCATACAGAGGAAGTTTGAGGCCTGATTTGTGTTTGTTGTGCAACCAGTAGGGACGTCGTAAGCAGAGGTAAAAGTAAGCCAGAGCTGTCTGGTACTGCGTACCAATAAAATATTTAGGGGCGATCCGTGGTTCCATCAAGAGCTGCTGGCTGCTATTTTGTGTCACAGTTGCCAGCTTGATGGGACGAATGTGCTGTTGTTAAATTTCACACTCACTCATTCAATATTTGTCTGATGCACACTCAACTCTGGCAAACTCTGCTTCACCAACTGTGCTTTTGCAGATGTACGTATTTGTGCGCTCCGTGCGTAAAGGTCCTTGTCTGCACGTCCTTGTCGTTCACCTCGATTCCCTCAGTAGCTCATCGCAATGCCGACTCTGCCATCGCTACTTAACATACTATATGTGGATGATTAACACTATCGACCAAATGCAAGACAGACAGACAGATCTGTCCGTGTATAGAGTAGAGGATTATATAGATATATACGTATATAGATTATATTGGTCTCAATCTGGAAAAAAAAATAAAACGAAAACACATGCAGAGTATAATAAAAAAAAATATAGGCAATAGACTTTTTTATTTTTTTTTTATTTTATAGTACCGGCACGAATTTCCATCTATTTCAGCCCTGGTGTTGAGGCAAGGCTAGAAAGCCGTCGGTAATGCTTTAGACCACATGATTAGGTTTTTTTGTTTTTTTTTTATGTTAAACAGAGCTATTTTCTTCTGTACACTGGGTTCAAGGTTAGTGAGCTTTAAATCTGGCAAGATTGGAAAATAAAAGAGTGATATTATAGTTAGGATCCTTTTATAGTTGGGATTTTTCATGATGTCTCTTGTTTAGAAGGCAAGTAGAAACGTTTTTGTTTTTATTTTTAGAGAATTTATCATTATTATTTATTTTTAATTTCAACTTTTTAATATCATGTTGTTTTTTGTGCTCAAATTTGGTTTTCTTTTGATTTAAAAAAAACAAAGAATAATAAAAAGACAAATATTTGAGACAAACTAATCCTATAGCTATACTTTTTTTATCTGGCTATGTCATATTTGGCATGGCCAAATAAAAAAATTAAGCAATTATTATTTTTTTTTCAGAATTCAAAGAAACCTGAACATTGAGGGCTTTATGAAGGTAGATTCGTTTCTTCGTCATTCAATCAAAAAAAAGGTTGTGTTAATCAGAAATATATATTTTCAATTAAAAAAACCTTCACTTCAATGAAAAATAACTTCTAAATCAAAACAAAAAGTATTTGAATGCAAAAATATATTTGAGACTAAAAAAAAATACATTTGAACAATGCTTTTCTTTTAATGAAAATGTTTTTTGTTCATTGAAGTAAAGTTTTTTTTTTATTGAAAATATTTTTTTGTGATTGAAGCAACCTTTTCTTTTTTTTTTTTGATTGAATGATAAAGACACAAATTACCTTCATAGGGCTAGGGGGGTAGCTATTACATTGTAATATACAATATCATTGAGCTGTTATGAACTCATTTTTCAGTGTTGATATACAGAAGTATTCAGCCTAACATAAACAGTTGGTTTCCAAGTTACTAAAGGTCATTGAGGAGGTTGGAGGCACAGATAAGCAAGTGCAGAGGGAGGAAAATGTGGATTTATCATTGCAGTATTTAACTTTAGATTGAAAGCTATAACAATCACAGCTGTTTTTAAAGTATTTGGTAGCTGAAGCTGACTGAGGTCTGGCTCAAATTAGAATGACGTACGAGGTGTCAGATGGGCAATCACCGGGTATCCGAAGACTCCGGCCAGGAGATATTCAGCAAACCAAAGGCAATGATGAGGAAAAACTGTTTGTAATCTAGTTGTGTATTCAGCAGCAAAAAAATCTATGTAATTCATTTTTTCTTAAAATAAGTGCATTTTTCATTGAATTGAGGCACTTTGCCAATGGATTAGACGATTTCCCTTTAAAATAAGAAAAAACAATTTTATTCTTCTATTTCAATCTAATTTTATCTAATTATTGTATTTTAAGAGTAAAAAATACTAATTCCATTGGCAAATCATCTGATCTACCTACTCAAATTAGGGATCAATACACTTAATTTAAGAAACATTGACTTATGTCTAGATTGTTTTTACAGTTCTTAAAAGAGCTGTAAAATGTTTTTGTCTCGTCTTTTGGCCTTTTGGCATCCAAACCTCCATCTATTAAAACCCATTTCTAGGCCATTTTGGTCTTTATGAGCTTAATAACAGGACTAAAAAGATTTTATTTTTTTTAAACTACAAAGCTGATTTAAACTGATTTAAAGACCACAGTCAGGGATTTGTTGTTACCCACGGAGCAGAGTAAAGTTTGTTTCTTGTAATTTTTTTTTTTTTTCGTGGTCTGTAACCAAAGCAGTTTTCTTTATAAAAACAACAGTTCACCTGACCATAAATCTTTCTTACTGAATGTTGGTTATGCTACAGCTTGACACCGAGGTTGATGCCTGTGGAAATTTACCAAAACATCCCTGTGACATGTTTTCTCCTCTCTGTGTTGCTCTGTAGAAACTGTTCAGCCTGGGAGCAGGAGATCGGCAGCTCATCCAAACGCCTCTGAACGACACCTTACCCGTCACCTTTAAGAGTGTTGCCCTGCTCTTCCAGCAGCTCGGTGGGTTCAGGCTCTAATAAACTGTAATCCTGAGAAGCATTGTGACTTTCTGGGTCATATAGGTGAAATAATACAATTAGATGTAACCTCTGTTTGCACCTTGTTGCTCAGTTTCCCTGTTGTGTGACTGGACCGCACACCATTACATATTATTAGCTGTAAAACTTGTTTTAATATTCCATATACCAGCTAACTGTTTGTGTCTGTTTATCACATGATTTGCACTATTAGAGTCAAGAGACTCGCTGAAAGCCATCAAGAGCTTCATGTCATTTCTATATTGTTGCTTAGGGAACGTGCTTGCTTTTCACTTTTCAGTTTTCCCTTAATTTGCCTGAACTGGAATGAACACATGATCCAGATTTGAAGCAGTCTTCAGGTTTCTCTTGCTATAGGTTTTGCAATCCATTGATTATGTCAATTTAGAGGATTTGCGCAGGAGATATACAGGCTTTGTTAAATGCGTTACACACGGCTTATTGATGGGGACTCATACCTGGGGGGGGATCTGGCGTTCTGTTCACCTCTTCATGGTTTGGGAAAAATCACATTATGAGCTATTGAGCATTAACTTGTACTTGAGGTCATCTGTGAAGAGCCACACCTATTTTTATTTTGCAGCATGGACTTATTAGCAGAGGGGGACATTGAAAAAAAACAAAAAATCACCTGACATGTCTTCTGCAATGGAAAGTTGGCCTCCATTCGATGAGGGGAAAGTGCCTTAGCACAGTCCTTTCTTTTTTTTATTTAGACAAAATGAAGAACATACACACGATAGTTTTAATTGGGGTTATGCATTTGCAGCCAACCTAGATACACATACCCATGTTTACATTAAAACCTTCCACTGGCTGTCCAGTCCTCATAAACCTGCTTCATTAATCAGTACTTGCAGTTTTGTTTGCTCATTTTACAGCCATTAGACATGTGTGGAAAAGCTGCTCAGCTTTAATTTTGTTTAGTTAACTTTCACGGTAATAAAGGGCAACGCAGAGGAAGGGTTTAATGGAACATGGGGGGGGTTCTAATGCATGTTTTCAGCTTTTTTTTAGTGGCCTTTTAAAATTTGGAGCATGAAAATTATAAATGTCCTTAATTATTTGTTATTAAATCAATTTCTTTTTCTTTTTTGATTAAAATAGGTAAAGCACCTTATTCAATGTTCTATCTCTGAGGTTTGGGTGTGTTTTCAAAGTTTCTAGCTGCCATTAGTTTATTTATTTTTTAGAAAAGGTACTTTTCTTCTTGATTCCCATACTTTTTAATAGGACATCAACTTATTCTAGTTGAATTGCTTCCTTGTTTAAAAGAAATCTTATGATTGTTTGATCTGGAAACTGAAACTTAATCAAACGGGTTTAGTTTTCAACACTAACATTAGGAAAGTCATTTAAGGATTGAAAAAATAAAAAGTGAAACATTTCCAACATTTAGGGCAACTTTTGGTCTTGAACGTCTTCCATAGGCTCCATTTTTACTCACTTTCTTGTTGTTGAAGGACTTCCATCTTGGCATGGGAGGCCTGAGGACCTCTAGGTTTTTTGTAACCTTCTAGATGAGTTATAAATGCACTATTGGAATAATTGCATCGGTCATTCAATACTTAGAAGGTTCACCACTGCTCTTTTTTCTTCATAATATCGCTGTAAGGGAATCTCAAAGCCTTAAAAATCTCCAGAATGATAATCAATTCAAGCCTAATATATTTAGTTGGTGCTTAAAATTCCCTAATGGATCATCTTAGAAGGAAAACGTTTCCCCCTCCCTTATATAATATATTTATTATCTATTTACAGAGAAATGAACACTGATCAATTGATGGATTATATGTAGACTGGGGGTGGTTTTATCTCTACTGATTGGGTCATCTTTACATCCATATTAGGATGGCTGTGCGGACATGCTGGTTGGTATATCGCTGTGTGTGAGCACAGGTCACAGAGTCACCGGAGAGGAATGTGTGTTTAACATGTCGCGTTGCACAGGAAGTACATCCCCCCTCCGGGGTCAAGACAAAACGGGCCATCAACAGCCCCGCTGTTTGTTGTTGGTGGGCTTTGTTTTCCTTCTTTCTGCTGCTGTTGTTAACTTCTCTTATTTACGGCTCGGAAATACGTGCCTGTTTCCATGAGATAAGTTCACACCTTAACTATTCTGAACCTGGACTTAAGCTTGAGTTATGTTTTGAATATTTTCACCATAGAAAAAGTCATTAAATTGCAAAGAACTTAATCGCTTTCTTTCACTCTATCCAGTTTAGTTGGAAGGAATTTGTTGAGACTCGTGTTTCCTGTTTATCAGTGGCGGGCTGCTTTCTGGCAATGTAGCTTCCAGACCCAGCGCCCCAAGTGGTGCGGATATGTCTGCCAGGGATTCTGTCTTCTTATCACCCAATGTGTGATGCATTGGTCTGTCAGATGCTTGATGGGAAACAATAACAGGAACTATAAACTTAGAATTCATCCTGATTGTCACACCGGTATTTGAGATATAATTTATAAAGTATGAGAGGATGTGATTTCCTTTGTTTTTCGGTCACATGGGGCTATGAATGATTCTTAGTTTTTATGCAATTTGAATAAATCACAACAGTTCTCAGAAAAGTTAGAGTAAGTACAATTATTATATATTTAGTTTCTGGGTTAAAGTAGCTCATATCTTTTATTGTAAATCAAATCATGATGTTGCTTATAAGAAAAAAAACAAGTCAATGGTTAAATTAAATTTAAAGAGAGTTTGTTTTACTTTGCAGTCTTCTGAAATCATTTTATATATTTGCAGAAGAAAAGGAATTAAAGGTTTAGTGGAGGATGTTCTTTTTCCGAGTGGATCATCAAAATAAGTGGTCCTGAAATGGGCTCGTGCACGCTTTTGCACGTGTTTAAGAGGCATTTCCACTACGGACCAGGTACAGGGTTGTGCATGTGCATTTTTTTCTTCTTTTTTTAAGTGGAGAGGGTGAGTCTTTTCAAAAGTTTGTGAAAATCCTCCACTATACCTTTAATTCCTCTATACCTTTTAATTTATATCTAATAAAACAGAAAGAGATGCTGCTAAAATCAATCAACTCACTGTACCACTTCAGGCTTCTTCCTCTTTCCATCATAAAGCTAACAGTTCGTTCACTGTCCCAATCCTCAGTCACCTTCAGATTTTGCTGTTTGTTTCCAGGAGCATTCTTTTATGGTATCTTTAATGTTCTGGATGCTTTCAAAGATACGGTGCTCTTTTGAATTGTAGCAGAAATCACTAAAGTTGTGATTGACATTAGTGAAACTCCCAAATGAATTGTGTTTGTTGTAATCTGTTTTTGATAGTGTCCTTCATGATTAATGAGGAGTGTTTGAAGAATGAACTGGAACTGAGAGGAAGCCAGATTAAAAGCTCATCTTTTTCTCTTTTTTTTCAGGGATCCAAAATGTTCTCAGCCTGTTTTGTGCGGTTCTGACAGAACACAAGGTTTTGTTTTACTCCAGCAGCTACCAGAGGCTGGGAGAAGCATGCCGTGCCCTGGAAGCCCTCATGTTTCCTCTGAGATACAGGTGAGTGTGCAGATGTGCACACCTGACTAATACTCAGGTGACTTTCCACTAACACTGCTTTTATGGCTCACAAGTCTTGTGGTTTAACTGATAATTAAGCTAGCGTTGTTGTTTTTTTTCCAGCAGCCTGTTTCACAAGTTAGCAGTCTATTTTCTATTTATCAGAAATCCTTTTTTTCCTAGTAAGCTGCTCTGTTTTCATCTTCCCTGGTTTACTTCATAATCTATGCATAAGTCTTCCTGTTATGAAACCAATTTCTGAGTATAAAATTTTAATAGTTTTTTTGCAAGCGGTTAAAATGTGATTGGTGTTGACTTAGCATATTTTAAACATGTGATAAAAAAAAAAAGCAGAAGGATTACTAAAAACAGGAGGCACTGAGCTATCAAAACGACTTACCACTAGTTTGTTCATTTCTGACAGAACATTCAGGATCTCGTAAAAACAAGCAAACCCACATCTTGTTTCCTCTGCAGTACCAATTATCAGGATTTATACATATATTTATAGTTTTGTTCCGTTGGATATACTGTCAATGTACAGAAAATATTGAGCTCTTTCAAAACCCAACATGATTCCAGCAACGTCGCCACTTTCAGTTGCTGTTGCTCACTTGACATGTCAGTAATTCGCGAGGCGGGCGACAGGCTCCACTCCTGCTGCTTCAACAAGTCATCAAATTAGGGAGCTTCTATCTGCAGCTTGTCGGTTTTAACTCGGCGTGACAGACCTGCATTTTACTGGGTAGGTCATGGTGATTTATCCATTACGGAGAAACATACACCAGACAGACCCTGCAGAGATGCGCTTAGTTCAGGAGCTTCGGCTGGATCACAGCTCCTGCAGGAGCACAGCTGTAGGGGAGGAGTGTAAGGCAGTGTAGATCAGAGTGGGGCAAAGTTCTGGAGCTACAGTAGGAGGACAGCATTCCTTACTTCATCCTATGTCAGCATAAATTATTTTTATCTTCCATCCTGATTGAAAAAACCTTCACCCTACATCACAGCCACATCCAGCCCCTGATTGATTGTTGTGACGAATGAAGACAGAGAAGCAAAGATTTTTCAACCTCAATAAAATCCATCACCAAATAAATTATGATTGTGATCGCCATAATCAGGCCTGTCCCATTTCTCTGCATTATTGCTCTCCTGAACGCAGCTCTACTTAGTAATAAAGTAAAAAAGGAACATTTAGGTTACTGGAGGCGCTTTACACCGTGTGATTTTCGGGGCGATTTTCTAGTCATGCGACAATCTTTCAATCGGCCCGACTTTAAGCCTGGTCGTGCGTTGTGTAGTGCACTGGGGGTTACAAGTGGCGATTAGCCTCTCACGACCACCTCCTGATCAGGAATCGTGAGGTCGGGAGAATATCAAACATGTTTGATTTTCTCCCGACCGTCATGGGCAAATCGCTCAGGGCGCAAACAAGGATTTTTCTTTTTATTCTTCCTCTCAGATGTAAACACAGCAGCATGGTAGGGATGCGAGTAAAATGCAGCTTAGTCTGCAAAATTGACGGACCGCCGCAGCCACGCCTGCTCAGCCACGTCCTTTTTCCAAATTCGTCGTCGCCCTTTCTTTCTAGGACCCTCAGCGCAAAATTGCACAAACTGCCAAGGCAGTGCGGTTCACTATAATGAGCTTAATATCCCCCTTCTATTTGTTTGGCTTCAGGGTAGAAAGGTACAGAGCAGCTCCATCTATCTGCAGAGCTGAGTCCGACGTGGTTTTTAGTCATACAGTGAGAGCAGGTAGATCGCATCAGAGTGTCAGGCCGAACATAAATCGTGAGCTGGGACTCACGTTGTACGACTAAACCCTGCATTTAGTCGTACAGTGTGAGCAGTAGCTGCGTGCAACGACTGAACAAAATCGCACAGTGTACGCCGGGCTTTAGGTGGGATTCCCTCCAGAATTGACCGATACCGATATTTACCTGATATGATATCAGCATGAATCATAAACACTTCTATTATTGATTTAATTGTGTGGAAGAAACGGAACAATACGTAACAGCATCAGGTATGAGATCAACTGACCCTTTTCTTATTCGCATAAGAGTTTCATAAACTTTAAACAGAACTTTCTATGAGCGTTCTAATATCAGAGATTTTAGAGGCGAGCTGATATATTCCAATATACATTTTTTGGATCAAATTGGATACATTTTCTGATATTAATCAATCAAATCAATACATCCCTATAATGCATTATAATTAATGTCCATTTAAATCACTGAATGGAGAAATCAGTGGTCAAATATATTTTTGCTGTAATTCTAAAACTGTTAGTTTTTATTTAAATAACATAAAATAACCTTTATTCCCTTAAAGTTAGAATCCTAAATTGAAGACGTCTACCTAACCTTAAAATCCAACATGGCTGCCCTGCGCAGAAAGAAATGCTAGAGCCACAATGAAGACTTTTTCCATGCATTTAATCTCTACAGAACTTTTTTACCAAATTCAAACAAATCTTCCTTTAGAGAAAATGTTGCCTTGGATTTTAAAAGTAGGATTTTGTGTGTTGATCCTGTTCACTGATCTGTTCAATTAGCTGATGAATTCAGTTGGTATTCAACATGTTTCAGCTCTTTTATAAAACGTTTTTTCTGATTGGCTGCCATGTGAATCAGTGGCTTGTAATGTAGATCTGGGCTCTGCAACCTTTGACCCTGGAGCCACAAGCAGCTCTTTAGAAACTCAACAACGGCTTTTCATCACTTTGGCTAAAATTATGAAAAGCAAGCCTGTTTTTTAAACAATAGATCTATTAACAAATGCATGTTTGTCGCATTTTCTCCACCGACTAGTAGGGATGGGGATCGAAACCCGGTTCCATCAAGGACCCGGTTCCACTTTTTTCAAAACCCGAAAATCAATAACGTTTGGGCTTATCGATACCACTATCGAGTCTGGTCGTTTTCTTTTTTTCTCCCGGAGGTCCTGTAACATAATTGTGTGTCCCTCGAGTCGCGTCACAGCATTTAAATCTAATCAATCCCAATCACTGCAGCATGTACACCAATGTTTTGGAATGAAATTGTAAGCAAACAGATATTAAAAGTAAAACAAGTGAAGTCTGGCACTTAATTTTGCTCGCGACTCGAGAATGGCTGAGCGGAAAAGACTCCTCCTCCTCCTGCTGCTGCCGCCGCACCACAGTCGGGCCCGTCTTCATCATCCACTCAGAGTACCACTGGTAAGCGCGCACACAGACTTTGTAGCTTGTCCGGTCAGTTAAAAATAGTAATTGTGGAATCCGTGTTGTAATCGGCAGCATACAAGCTAGTTAGCTTGAAAAGTAAATAAAGTTTCAGACGTGCTGCGTGATGATGTGTTCAGATTGGCTCAGTAAAACGACAATTAGGTTATCATGATGCGTTCAAGTGTAACGTAAAGAAAAGGGAAATTGAGTTTTTAGTGAGAAACATGAGTAATACAGTTGTATATTGCTCTAATTATTTTAGAATATATAATTAAACTACTGATGCCAACATATATTAAAAATTACATTTAATTTAAAATACAATTATTTATTTGCTAAATATTTTCCTAATCACTAAAAACATGATGAAAAGTGACAGTAGACAATAAATTAACCAACAATTGTGAAAATATATTCTAGTTAGTTTTGTCATTTCGAAGTGGCCTATTACATTAGCCATGTTTACTGAAGGCTAGAAACGTTTTTGTTGAGCTCACTTGTTAAGCAATAAAAGCAATACCAGTTCTGTTAAAAAATATTGTTGCATCGTCTTTCCACCAAATAACAGAAAAGTATCGATATTGGTATCGATAAAGACTCGGATCAATAAGGAGTATCGATAAAGGTATCGATATCAATAAATATTAACGATCCCCATCCCTACCGACTAGTTGCACTGAATTTCCAAAAAACTGGACTTGACTTATAATGGCAATGTATTTTTTGATCTTTTTGATAGGTGGGACTTACAAAAAGATTGGCAACCTCTTGTAAATGTTATTAAAAATAAGTTCTCTTTTTTCATGTGTCCATGTGATGTTTGTATCTCTTAATTTTTTTTTAAGCAGGACTCAAGTCAGTTTTACTTCAGTTCACAAAAGAAATTTAACTCATAACAAAAATATGTCATTTTTTTCATTAACACAAAATATCAGCAAGGTTTTGTAGATATTTCTCAAATAAAACGTTTCTTTTTCATTTAAAAAGGTCCAAATGAGTTTTATAAGCTGGACTGAAGTCATTTATTTTTTCAATTCACAAATTTAATTGATGTTAATCAAAACAAAAGTATACAAATTATATTTTTCTATATATTTCTTATATTATTATATATTATTATATTATTTTTTCCTAAAATATCAGTAACATATTGAAAATGTATTCATGCCCTTTTTGAAAGTTTTTTTCCCTTCATTTTAAAACCTAAGGTTCTAAGTGGCTGTCTGGATATCTAAAAAGGACGAATGTCCTGTGATAGATAGTTATTAAATATAATATTTGCAGCTCTAAGCTAGAGTTATTAGCTGGACAGAAGTCGCAAATGGCTCTTTACATTGTTTACATAGCTCATCTATTTAGTTCTTATGTTGGTCTTGTTTATCTTGCAAATGATCATAAAAAATGGGTGAACCACAGAAGGCAGCATGAATGACTCAGTGGTACCATAGGCAGAGAACACAGAGATAGTTGGGCACAGCTCTCAGAGCGGACTGTCCCCTAATAAAAGGAATCCCAGCTCCATCCTGGCCTCCCCTGTGACTTGAGTGTCGTTTGGCAACAGAAGTTAGCCAAGATTCTCGTTATGGGCTGGCTAACAGCACGCATGCCGGCCCAGATGCCTGCATATCCACACACCATTGCTCTACTATTTATACTGATAAACCTGGGGATGCTACAAACTTGCTAGAGGCGTACCAGTCCTCAAAACCCATTTTTACATCCAGCTTTCTTTTCTTATTTGTCAAACTCCAAAAAAAACATTTTATTTATTAGCAAAGCTGGCAATTTACTGGTTCTGAATAGCAGGTAGTCCCTTGGAGATGCCACGTGAAAGCTAAAATTAGGAGTCAGTTTGGCGTTAGGTGCGTCATGCAGAAGCCTAAGGTTAAAGCTGAGTGGACTCAGTTGTCACTGAGAGCTTGTTTGAAGCTGAGGGATAGGATTTGTTTTTTCTTTTTTTACTGACTCTTCCTTGCGCTCCCAATAAGCAACCCCTGACTTCTCAGATAAGACGTCATCCCCGGGCGTGTTGCTGCTAGCACCATCGGCACATGTTGCTTGGTGCTTGCACACGGTTGCGGTTTATGTGCTGCACATGCTTGTTTGGTGGAAACCTTAGTTTATCACCTGATAAACCAAGAAGTTAGTGAAAGCATGCTTCCGCTGATGGTCACGTCATTAAGCTTTCTTTATGCTAAGTTGGGGTTTTTTTGCACGCGAAGCAGGTAATGCAAAACTTGCACACAAAAAAAGAAACAGATATGGCAAGTGAAATGTTCTAAGTTTTCAGCTGATGTTAATCCTCTGATTTATGTTTACCTATAAAATAGTTCTTTTTTTTTAAACAAAAGAGGACACAAAATGGAAAATAAACATTTACCTTGGCTCTAAAACTGGAAAGTGCCAGGATGTACGGCTTTGCTGTCTGATATTTTCAAAGTACCTTAAGGAGTTTTATTCAGTGTTGCAAGATACCAGTGATGCATCCATTAACGCCAAAGTTCATGAACTAATCCTTCTAAGATTTATTATATCATTTGTACATTTTGTTTCGGAAGGTTTCAATTTTCTGGTAAATAGGTGTTTTTATAGATCTGTTTGCCAGTAACAGTGTTTTCACCCTTATGTTATCTTACCGTGACTCATTATTTTGCATTTCTAAAGGTGTAAGGCAGTAGCTGCTCTATTCAGGTCTTGAGTAATTCGGGGTTACGGATTAATTTGTGTTTAGACATGTTTAGACATGAAAAGAAGTACATGATGTGTCGTAAAAACTTTCTGTTTTTTTCCTTGTTGTTAAACCGCACTTGTTTGTGTAAGTGATAGTTAATAAAATGTTCCGAAGCTTTTATGTTAATTGCGAAATTGAAGACATGCATCAGAAGTAATAATGTCTTATTAACTACAGCATTTCCAGGAATTGTTTTTTCTATTCTTTAATCTGTCTGACTGATATCATTGCATATTTATTGTATAATAATGTTATGTACTTTTTTTTTTTTTTTCTTTCTTGTATCTAGTTACCCATACATTCCTATTCTACCTTCCCGGCTGCTGGAGGTGTTGAGCTCACCCACACCTTTCATCATTGGAGTGCACTCCATCTTTCAGAGTGAAATCCAGGATCTGGTGAGAAGTTATTTTTAAGGATTTTATTAAACTAGGTATTTAAAAACATAATTCATGATCTCTTTATTATTGGGTGAGATTACTGTAGATAAGAATAAACCTTTCCTGTTTAGGGTGAGTTAGCTCAGCATACACATACAGTGGGGAAAGACAAACATTTATTCAGTTACTGATCCTGCAAGTTCTCCTGCTTAGAAAAAGGAAAGAAGTTTGACATTTTCATCACAGGTGCACTTAAGATTGGACTTAAAAATCTCACCATAATTACCTGGTTTACTTTGATCAGTCATCCTGTTCTCATCCTGTCCCAAACCATGATGTTTCCACCGCCGTGCTTCAGTCGGTTTGGTGTAGGGGTGCAACTCTAAATAATTCTACCCCCAAACACGAGCAGTTCAGTTTTTGACACAAAGTTCTATTTCGGTTAGATCTGACCACATGATAATCTTCAAATTCTCTTCTAAATCGTCCATGTGCTCTGGCTTAAGCAGGGATACACGCCTGGCACTGAAAGGTCTGAGTCATTCTCAGCGTAACGTGTCACTGATGGCAGCCTTTGTTGCTTTGTTCGCTCCAGGTCATTCATGAAGTCTATTTTCTCTCATAATCCTCATCATGGTTTTAACCCCTTTGGATTAAATATTGCATGGACCCCAGATTGAGGGAGATTATCAATGGTCTCATTTTGTCTCTCTTAGTTAAAGTGTACCTATGATGTAAATGACTGACCTCTCATCTTTTTAAGTAGGAGAACTTTTAAAATCAGTGGCTGACTGAATACCTTTTTGCCCCGAGGTAAATCTTTTATTTTTGCTACACACCAAACTCCTAGTATTTTATAGAGTTCCTATTAACTGTGTGACCTGGGGAAATATTTTGGAAGTCCTAAGCTTTTAAGAGATCCTTGCTACAACGTTGGTCCATTAGTTCTGACAGAACAAGTGCAACTAAGTCTGATTTGCTCACTAAAACTTTAAAGCCAAAAACCTCCAGCAGGAATTTTGCTAAGGCTACTCCTAAACATATACTTTACTGTTCTTTAACCAATTTGTAACTATTAGTGATGTGTTTAGGCTCACCATACTGGAGGACATGTTTGACATATTTCTTCAATATTTCCACCAAATGTTCCTTTTTTTTTTCTTCTTGTGATACCATCTACTCTGAGAAGGACGCCTAGCCCTCCTGTAGCACCTTCCCATACAGTATCATGCTGCCATCCCGTACTTCACAAGATTCCCTCTTTTTCTCCGTCATTTTGTCTAAACACTGCAACACTAGTTACATTGTGCCCAATCGCATGCCTCCGACAATTATGGTCTATAATATCACACAGCTTTACTTAAATGTATAGTGGAGGATGTTCTTTTTCCGGGTTTTCATCTTGTGATATGTTTACGTAAGGCTATGCTACGTGCTCGTCCCCCATTTTCACTTACCGGTGGTGAGTCTGATATAGTGGAAAGAATTGCAAATTTTCTTTTGGAAAGTAAGCTTGTATAAGTGATGCAAACAGCAACGTTTAAACAGAGCGTGCATGAGGAGAAATGGGCTGGTGCATGCTCTGCATGTACAGTGTTGTGCTTTTTTTTTTTCCCAAGTGGAGAGGGCAGGTCTTTTCAAATTTTGTGAAAATCCTCCACTCTACCTTTAAAATGGTGCCTTAAAAAAAACCCAAAAAGATCTTTTGAATTAACCCAGCAGCATCGTGCATAACCGGGTCATCATTATCATCATACAGGCTTTCACAAATAGTTAACTTCTTAATTTAAAGATGATTACAAAACAGTATTGCTCTCAAATAGAAATGTATATATTTGAATCCTAACTAAGCTAAAGCAGGAAAGCATTAGTCTGATTCTGTTTTAGAAAAGGTTCATGTGATGTTCAGTCTGTTTTATCTGTAACTAACTTCCGTACCTTTAGAAAATTCTTCATATATATATATATATATATATATATATATATATATATATATATATATATATGTGTGTGTGTGTGTGTCAAACCATCTAATTTGTAATTTTTTTTTAATGCTTTTACCAGCTGGATGTAATTATTGCTGACCTGGATGGAGGGACTATAAAGATTCCTGAGTGCATCCACCTGTCTTTACTCCCTGAACCTCTTTTGCAGCAAACACAGTCTATTCTGTCACTGGTAAGCATTTAGAAATACTCCAGAACTTACATTGTTTTCTCATTTAGACCTAGTTATGGGCCAGTTATGTCACTGTTTGTAAAAACAGCTAAGATGAAAATGAATAAAATAATTATTCTGTATTAGGTGCTGCACCCTGATTTGGAGATTGCAGACAATGCCTTCCCTCCTCCACGCACAGCCTCCTCCAACCTCAAACTCCTGGTAAGCGAGCTTCATGACCTAACTGCATTCATGACTCTTAAGTTGTCTGATTATTGAGGGCAGACGGCCTCCTGTTCCCCTCTGATGGAGGGCAGGCTGCTCTTCTCAGAAATAGTTGCTTATCAGGAGCAGTGAGTGCATATTACCTTAAAGACAAACATACCTATTGCATAATTATCAGTTATTGCGTTTCACTGCATTAGTGGCATACTTGTTTGATGATTATGTGTATTTTTGTGTTCCCTGACAGGACAAAGAGGTGAGGGCCGTCTTTCTCAGGCTGTTTGCACAACTCTTCCAGGGCTACAGGTCTTGCCTGCAGCTCATCCGAATCCACTCAGAGCCCGTTATCCACTTTCACAAGGTGAGGTTTTGTTATCATGGAATTTCCAGAGGCAAAATTGGGGAGAAAAATCGAAATTTCCAACATACGTCCTTAAATAAACTTGTTAAGCAATTTCTCTTGGTAAAAAACACGGCTCCTTTAATCTGCCGAGAATGTTTAGGCGAGCAAAGTGGGTGGATTTACACACAGACCTGACAGATAAACTTGTCAAAGTTGTATAATGTTTGTGTTTGTGTGAGTATGCCTATTATTTTAAATAGGTTGCGGGGGGTTCTATGACTCTTTGTCGATGCTATCTTCTTGTTTACCCGGGCAGAGTGCCGTATGAATTGTATTAGGTTGATCGTTTTGTTTTGTGTCAAGACTTGCTGTTTGTTCATTTCTGTGGTATCTCCATGGTAACCCATTTGCACAGCATCCTTAAAGTACCCCACATGGGTCACATTATCAACCAAAGCTGTGCCTGGAATCTCTGAGCCGAGTGTTTTATCTCCTCAGCCCACAAGCACAAATAATTACACAAGAAAATTCAATTCATTTGCATGCAGTCATTTATGATAAGTAGATTTATTTCTCCTTTCTTCCTGCTAAATAAGTTACCCATGTTTTAGTTTATAAAAAACCTCATGCAAAGATTTTTCTTTTTTTTTCTCAAAGAAATATTTGATCACATCTTAAACTTACTGTGATCAGAGTGCTTGTTTTTGAGTCTGCTGTAAATCTCTCTGAGTTGGATCGCACTGCTGCCATCTGTGTTGAATTGAACCTCCTCCAATGCTGACATTTTCCAGACAGCCTTCTTGGGCCAGCGAGGCCTCATTGAGAACGATTTTCTGACCAAGGTTTTGGATGGCATGGCCTTTGCTGGCTTCGTTTCAGAGAGGGGTCCGCCTTACAGAGCCTGCGATCTCTTTGACGAGGTATGGCATCACCGAACACTAAGCAGGGGTTTAAAGAAATTACTGTTTATGCAACCCTTTTGTAATGTTTAGATACACTGTTCTGCCGAGGTTATTTCCATTTCAATCACATTTAGTTCCCTTTTTACTGCCTTTGTCAAGAGTTGATTGAATTGATTTGTTCTGCATGAGCTTCCAGCTTTCATTGTCTTTCCTTATGCTGTCCCTGACAGCTGGTGGCCTTAGATTTTGAGAGCTTTAAGGAAGAGGAAGCAAACCCCAGCAAGCTGCAGAAGCACATCAGGGAGCTCTCAGAGCAGCTCTACAGAAACGTAAGGCTTATTGAAAAACCTGATTAATTCTTTCTCCTATTATAATAAGAATCCACGCTGAAGAACAGCTTACTCTGTAGCTTTACATCAGGTAACCGCAATGCGTTTTTTGTAGGAGAATCCGAACCCTCACATGGCGTTCCAGAAAGTGCCTCGGCCATCTGAAGGATCCCACCTGCGTGTGCATCAGGTACCCTTCCCGCTGCTCGACGATGAAAAGGTGGAGAAGATGCTGCATGAGGGTGTGGCGAAACACAGCACCACTCCTGTTTCTCCTCGATCGGAGAAGAAGTGTGTTGTTCCTGCTGGACCACCTGTTGGTATGACCGTCATTAAAACCTCTAACAGTCAAATTCATGTTTTTATTTCCCTCCAGTCCTTTTTCTATGTAAAATAACTTTATTTTTGTTTTCTTAGTGCAAAGAAGAATAGGGAATAATTCAGTTATACATTATTTTAGAGGAAGAAGAGTAAATATTTGTTTTTCATGTGCTTTTGTCTAAATGTTATGTCCTTTCATTCAAATGTATTTTCTTTCTTTAGTCCTGTCCCTTCTTTTACATCCATTCTCCTTTTTTCCTTCATTCTGTTCTTTCAGTCCTTTCTTCCCTCCTACTATTCTTCTCCTTTCTTTTCTTCCCTCCTTGTGCTTTATTTTATCTCCTTGCTCATATTGTTTCTATTCTTCCTTATTCCCCCATACTCTCAATTTCCTTCCTTCCTTCCTTCCTTCCTTCCTTCCTTCCTTCCTTCCTTCCTTCCTTCCTTCCTTCCTTCCTTCCTTCCTTCCTTCCTTCCTTCCTTCCTTCCTTCCTTCCTTCCTTCCTTCCTTCCTTCCTTCCTTCCTCCCTTCCTTCCTTCCTTCCTTCACATCTTCCATTCATATTTAAAGTTAGTTAGATTTTTTCAAAATGACTGTTTAGAGTAGCTTTGTTCTTTAACCAGCTCTGATTTCCCTTTTCTTCCTTTCCAGTGTCCATCATGGGCAAATGTGGCTCCGTGTTTAACAGCGCTCGCAGGCTGGAGGTGGTGAAGAGCTGCATTTCCTTTATCTTTGATAACAAGACCCTGGAGACTGAAAAGGTGATGCACGCAGTCTTTCAGCAGAACAGCTAATCGGCTTTTAAAGATGCTCATTAGCCGGGACCGTCTTTCCTCCGAGTTACGCCACACAAAAAAACAGTTACTAAGCTGTAAAAAAAACTCTCCTCCTTTATTCCTGTAATATGTCCCAGCTGGCATTCAAGCACTGGATTAGATACTCTGGATCATTCATCTGCTCATTTTGGATAAAATCCCAGATACAATTTCTTTATTAAATTGATAATATAGCATAGGCGTTATTCAGTTTGTGTTGCATATTTTTTTTTCTTGCTCTGTATAATATCACATTTCCTGACTGTTGCCAGGTGCTTTATGTATCCCAGTTGTTTCATATAGGTGTTGTGTAACCCCTGCCTGCATTTTTATGCACAGTAAAGGAATGCATAAAAATTCATTCCCTAAACCCTTCAGGAGAATGTAAAAATAAAATGGTCAGTAAAATACCATAAGCTGTAGAGCAGCTCAATGTAGGCATACTTTACTAATAGCATAATCCATTTTCCCCCCAGAATAACTATTTTTACCAACTTTCTTTTGCAAACTATGGACATAAATTGCATCTTTTTCTGTGGGTTACTTACCAAATCACGTTTTTCTCCACTTTTGAACCCCATCCCCCCCCATGTAAACAGACCCTACCTGCTGCCCTGCGTGCCCTGAAGGGAAAGGCAGCTCGTCAGTGTCTGACGGAGGAGCTTAGTGTCCATGTACAGCAGAATCGAGCCATACTGGACCACCAACAGTTTGACTACATCGTTCGAATGATGAACTGCGCCCTTCAGGTGAGTTGCTTCGTGGTAAGAGATTTGTACACAAGAGAAGGAATTTTCACCTGGAGTGGAAAGCATCACAGTTTCAAGATCTTTATTAAAGAATTAAACCAAACTGTACTTTCTGATCTAATTTATTTTACTGAAAGCTCCTGCTTGTACTCCTGGTGCTCGGCTTATTTAGGCCCAGGTCGCAGGGACAGCAGCCTCAGCAGAGACATCTCACTTCGTACACACTTTCCCCATCATGTTCTGGGCCTCCTCCCGGTGGGACTTGCCTATAACACCTGAAGCAGATGTCTGAGCCGCATGTGCTTACTGCTCTCGATATTGAGGAGAAGCTCTACTCTAACTTAGACTTAGAGAACTTTTATTGTCAATTTTCGTCTTTGTACAACTCCATTTCCTTTTCTTAAAGTGCAGCAGTCTTTTGCAGAATGACCAACCTCATCCCACTTCCTCTAATAGAGTGTCCAGCCATCCTGCAAAGGAAGATCATTTATGCCTATTGGATTTTTTTTTTTTGCAGATTCCATTACCTTATTTGACGGTTAAAGCCTGAATCGACCCGTAAATAGAGACCTTCTCTTTCAGCTTCCTCATCACCGCAAAGAATCACTGCAGTGTCTGCATAAAGGGAGCAGTACTCCCGCTCCATTCTCCCCTCACATGAACAGAACCACAAGATTCTCCACTCCAGGCAGGAATTCTCCTCCAACCTGAAGAAACTACCTTCTGCCGGTTTAGAACAATGGAGTCTGAGTTGGAGGAGCTGATCCCTGCTACTTTGGAATCTGCAGCGAACTGCTCCAGCTCATGCTGTAGGTCTTGGCAGGAGGGAGCCAGCAGAACCGCAAAATTTGCACAAAGAAAGGACAATATCCACTAGTCCCTAAACTAAACTCCCTCCAGCCCTGGGCTGCTTCTAGAAATCATGTCCATAAAGGTCATGGGGACATGCTGACCCAACCTAGCTCTCAGTACCTCCCATGGGCGAGGCTTCTACTAAGAGAGAGTCCATCCTCTCACAAGGAGCTGGATTCCAGAGCCTATGCTGTGCGTAGAGCTGAGCTTACCTGTCACTAGTCGGTATTGCTCAACCTGGAATTTACGGTGTTCATTAAGCTCTTTGTACAGTTTAGACTTAGATTTAGACAACTTTTATTGTCATTTTGTAAACACAGAGTGTATACAACAGAAAATGTTGTTTAGTACAGCTTTCAAGACAGTAAATGAACATTTCTATCAAACCTGAATCAAAAATATCCAAAAAATACTTTAGCATTGATACCATACTAGATTAATATCCATTAATATCGAGATTAGGGCTGCGACTAATAATTATTTAGCAAATCAATTAATCTGTCAAAAATTTTTTTTATTAATTCATTAATATTCAGATAGCCAAAGGTTCCCTGAAGGTTTTTTCAAGTTAAACCAGGTGAAAATAAACTTTTCCACTTGAGGAGTTCTGGATAAAGGATATTGACCGACGAAAGCATTTTTTTTTCATCTTAAATGCAAATTTTTTATGCATTTTTTTAAACAATTTTTCTATTATTGCTTCTTTAAGTGCGTCGCTCTGTCGGCTAAAGGCATGCTTTAGAGTCTCTATACTCCAATTAAACATTAATCGATTGTTATATTAGGTGACCATTATTTCAATAATCGATTAATCATGAAAAATCCGATTAATTGTTTCAGCCCTAATCCGGATACAGTGTTTGGATACCCAAACTTTTCAGAGTATTAATAATTCTGAAAAAGGTTACCATATCATAAATGTTTCAATGAGGGATTTTAAAGAATGTTTCAATTTCAAATTTTTAGGCAAGCTGCTGAAAAAAGACATGATCTACAGCGAAACGTAGGAAAAATAATCATTTAACACACCGTAAAGAGACTGATGGGGATTGTTTGTGCCCCAGATTTTTTTAATGGTAATCTTTTTTTTTTTTTTCACGTCTGTTTAGGTCAGAGGTGGGCAATTCCAGTTCCTGGGGGCCGGTATCCTGCAACTTTTAGGCTGCGTTCACACTGCAGTCCTTGATGCTGAATTCCGATTTTTTTTTGCAAAATCCGATTTTTTTGTGTTGCCGTTCACATATATGTGCTCTCCTGTGGAAGTGCAGTCCTACAACCCAAGTGTCCTGCATGCGCAGTAGAGGACGCAATGACATCACAGACCAGCGTGCTCTGTGTTTACGGAAGTAAACATGGATGGTATTGCCGGAGCGCATCTAGCGGTCTTTCCCAACCATAAAAACACAATCTTTTCAATATGGTTAAACATAAATAATCATCTGCCATGGTTGTTGTTTTTATTGCCGCTTCTGCGCAGCAAGACGCAGAATAGTGACCTTTGTCGGGTATTAATGATGTTCAGGTCGGATGAATCCGACCTGGTCGTTCACACAGGACCACATAGCCAAGTGGCCTGGGTTGAATTAGAAAAAATCGGATCGGTGTTGTTCACACAGCCATGAAAAGATCAGATCCAGGTCGCATGTGGGAAAAAAAATCGAATTTGGGTCACTTAAGGCTGCAGTGTGAACATAGCCTCTGATCCATCCTCGGTCCAACACAACTGAATCAAATGGTTGAATTACCTCCTCAGTATGCATTCAGTTCCTCCGGAGTTCTCTCAATCATCTAATTACTTGAATCAGGTGTGTTAAAACCAAAAGCACATCTAAAAGTTGCAGGATACCGGCCCTCCTCTGGTTTAGGTACCAGGCATTTAGTAAGGAATTAGCCTCACACTATCTGTGGAGGGAATATAAATAGAAGATGCTGTGGCCAGTAATTAGTTTCATATTCAGTAAATGAACATTTCTATTCCATAAAGTGAAGCAGTGATCAAATGTAAACAGTGTGGGAGAAGAAAATATGGTCCAAAAAACATATTGATATGGACGATCAGAGCATTGAATATGTATGGTGCAAATATGCAGTATTTTTGGTTTGGTGTTAACAGTTTGATGCAGAGTCTGTGACATTATTTATAGTTTTCTCAAAAGTTCAGCAGTCTGATGGCGGTGGGGAAGAAACTGTTGCAGAATCTGCTGGACCTGCACTGAATGCTGCGAAGCCTCTTCCCAGAGGGCAGCAGGGAGAACAGTCCATGGTGGGGGTGTGAGGGGTGATTGATGATGTTACGGGCTCGGACACGCAGCGCTGGGATGAAATGCCTTTTATGGAGGGAAGCACTTGATAACAAGAGTTTTAATTGTTGATTTAATTCAGTCTTCTATGTGGCGTTCTCTAATTCTTTACCATGTGCTATGAAGCTACATGTTCTTCAAGCTATATTAATGTGACTGTTCAGACATTTTTACATTTCAGCCTTTTCTTTCACCAGACTGCTTGTTTGTCGTCTCCTTTCGCCGCAGTTCTTTTGCCCCCTGTAAAGGTTAAAGAAATGTTTCAGGCAGCCCATAAGGAGTCATGAAAATCAACTTTTCCACTGGAGGAGTTCAGGATAGAGGAAATTGACAGACGAGTCATCTAGACCTTACTCACCCTCAGCAGGGTCTTTACTAGTGGTCCATCTTTTACTGCCCTGAATCAGCTCATTCCAGAGGTTGAATTCATCTAGAGATGTTCTTACAGAGTGCAGTTTTTATGGGGGTAACTCGAGATTCCATGCATTTCTTTTCCCTCAGAAAATAACGGAATGTGAAGAAAACATGCAGGTCTGATAGATGAGTCATTTATCTAAGGAGTCATAGCAAAATGAACTCTGTCAGTGCAAGAAATGTTTAAAAAAAAAAGGATTCATGTTCATGTGTTCTGTATTTTCATGTATAATAGATCATTTTATACATGTTTACACAAAGCCTTAAATCCCTTGGTTATGACTTTATTATTATACAGAAAATAAGGTTAAAAATGCAGAAAGGTCTAACTTAATATCCATACTCTGGACAGAATTTAACACCATTTTCAATAACAGCGGGGGGAAAATTAGAGACAAATATATTTTTGATATTATATATATATATATATATATATATATATATATATATATATATATATATATATATATAAACTCCTTTTTTAAATCTCAAAATGGAGTATGCTTTTTCAGCAAAATTACACATGCTAGTTAAGAAGGAATTGAAATAAACAGCCCAAATATTTGACAATATTTGAAGCTAGCCAAAATTGTATTATTTATTGAGCAAATAATCCACAAATCTGAAATAAACGGTAGCTAAAATATGCAAACAACACTTTAGCATTGATACCATACTAGATTAATATTGTATCCAAATTAGCGCTGCAACTAACAATTATTTAGCAAATCAATTAATCTGTCAATAATTTTTTTTGATGAATTCATTAATATTCGGATAGTGAAGGGCTCATTAAAGAAGATTTTTTTTTTTAAGTTAAACCAGATGAAAATAAACTTTTCAACATGAGGAGTTCTGGATAGAGGATATTGACGGACGAAAAAAAAATCTTTTTAATCTTAAATGCAAAATTTTTATGCCTTTTGTTAATTTTGCTATAATTGCCGTTCTAAGTGGGTCGCTCTGTCAGCTAAAGGCATGCTTTAGAGTCTCTATACTCCAATTAACAATTAATCGATTATAATATTAGTTGACGATTATTTCAATAATCGATTAATCAGGAATAATCCGATTAGTTGTTTCAGCCCTAATCCGGATACAGTGTTTGAATACTGAAACTTTTCAGAATATTATTATTTCTGACAACGCTGACGGAACATAAATGTTTCGATGATTTTAAAGAATGTTTCGACTTTAAATTTAAAGGCAGGCTGCTGAAAAAAACGATGTGAAAGTGAAATGTTTTTTATTAAGTCTGTTTAGGTACCAGGCATTTTGTGAGGAATTAGCCTCACACTATCTGTGGAAGGAATATAAATAGAAGATGCAGTGGCCAGTAATTAGTTTCATATTTTGCGCTGACCTCTCCTTCAATGCTCAGAAAGAAATCCTTCAAGCACATCTGTGTTTGCGTGTGTGACGTCCGCTGATAAA